GATTTGGGGGTTAAGGGCATTTCTAGAATGCCATGTGAGCTCATGTTTTTTATATGTATATTCATACTAAGTGAATCTCCATCTGCTGGTGTAGTTCCCATTGGCATGGGTGAAAATGTTAGTTGAGTGAATTCCAGGCAATCCTCCAAGGTAAGAAAGTTAAACAAAGCTAAAAGGGGCCAACATACATACTTAAAGAAGGAACTTTCTAATTTTAGCAACTCTTGATGCTCTTTTGGAACAAGCAGATAGCCTTAGACTATAACTAAAGCAATTTGTCATAAAAGATAACCCACAAGGTACTGATAAAGTTGGGAAAAAAGATCAGCTAGAGGAACCTGTATTGGTTTATCACTTCCTTGTTAACTTGGGCTACTAATGGAGTTCGTTCAGTAAGAAATTTCTCCAATAACATCCTTTTTTTTTTTCATTTCAAGAGATGGGGTCTTGAACCTGTGCTCGTGGTCTTCCCACCTCAGCCTCCCAAAGTGCTAGAATTATAGGTGTGAGTCACAATGCCAGCCAAACATCTAACTTAGAAACTATAGTTGCCTTAGGTATATAGGTTTAGAAAGGGTTGAGTACGCTAGAATAGTGCTTTTCAAATTTCTATGGTAAAAGTTCAATTTCTTTATCATTTAAAAAAAGTTTCTAATCAGTAGTAGACCAATACTTTTGTAAAATATTACAAAAATGTATTACTAAAAATTGAAATAAAAAAAGCCCAAGATGTACAAATTTTTTGCATGGCTGTGCCTGGCATTTGTTTGAGGAACAATAACACCACTTCCAGAAAACTCAGCCCACAAATAAATGTGTTTTCACTGGAAGCTGCTCTTCTTGTATTACTGGATAAATCTAAGTGACAGTAGTAGCCTCAAATATGTCACAACAAGTAAATTTAGGTATTTAATATGAGGCTTTACAGACAGTATCCTTTCTTAATTTAGACAACAACAAATAAGACAAATTAGCAGTATTACCACATATAGGATTAACTAATCTGATTCCTTTTTTTCCTGCTGTTTTGCCTTTTGTCCTAAACCCCAACTACACCCAAACAGATGAGGAATAAATAGGAAAGATGATATAATAATAAATGCAAAAGTGTAATAAAGATAGATACCAGAATCTGTTAGAGGATTTTCACTTTTTCCATAGGACATCTAAAAATTAAGACAATCTGCACTCACCTTTATGTAAAGGATTTTTAAGTATAATAACCCACACTTACATATAGCTTAGAATCTTTAAATGTATTATATATTTAGATCTATTTTTATATTCATGTATTAACGTATTAAATATATGTTGAAATTGTATATTTAATAATCACAGGTATGTCAGGGTAAATACATAATGCATTTAATTCTTTCACACTTAGAGCATTTTCTATTTAGTCCCACATCATGCAGAAAGCCAATGACTGCCTCTCCTCACAGAATAAAATGCAGCCGCATTGTATGCAATCTGCACTGATGACAGCAGAGGGCACTGTCATATAAAATGACCACTTTCCACCGTGTACAAGAACCTGTTCTGATTGGCAAGTACTAGTTTCAAGCTAGGATTTCTGTAAATTGTCATCTATACCAAAACCATTCTAAAATCTCTATGTGAATACAAAGTGACATATTTTAACTGATAAATGTAAACCTGAACCATAAATTATAAAAAGGAAGAAAAATAAAAATAAAACTTCACGATTTTGTATGAATTGATACTGAATCTTTTCTCATACTATTTCTAATTGCTTATAGATTGGATATAGAGTTCATGTGTAATTTAAAATAGTTTATTATAAAAACTATTTTATGATAAACCGCACACAAACTTTATATCCACTCTATATAATGCTGTTTACATGAAGTCGAAAAAAAGGGAATGTACACAGAATAGTGTCAACAGAAAATAAGCCATATTACTCTGTAAAATAACTTGAAGAGGTATATCATGAACCAGATTTGAGGACTATGACCTGGAACCACACCCAAGAAACCTTGAGTAAGTAGACTCCCTGTGGTTGGGTTAGTTTGGTTTTACGGATTTCAGGGAGACAGAAACTACAGGCAAAGTCACAAATCAATACATGGAAGGCATACACAGGTTTGGCCTGAAAGAGTTAAGCTTTCTCTAAAAGACCAAGAGTCATCTGAAAAGAACTGCTGAGTTAAGATAAGGGTTTGCTAATTAGAAACAAGCTTCCTAAACACCTGCAGGGTTGTCCAGTATGGATACAGTCTTAAGCCTGTTACGAGTTATAATGGACATCTCTGACAAGAGAGGGTAATATAAGGAGGCAAGTCTGACCTCCCTTCTCCTGGCTAGTAACAGTTTTAGGGTATCCCCTCGGCCAAAGGGGCTCCAGTCAATAGCCGCTGCAAGGGACAGTCTGCTGTCTACTAGAATATACTCTGAGCAATACACGCAGGTTAAAATGAAAGGACAGAAAAAGACATAGCATAGAAATGTTAATCACAGTAAAGCTGGGATTCTTGATTAGATAATGGATCAGGAATAATTTTAAAAATTTGAATGAGGTCTGTAAATCAGTTAAAAGGTATCATATAAATGTTAATTCCATGTTTTTGTAATTATATGGTGGGTATACACTACCTTAACATCTGAGGAAGCCGAGTGACAGGTATATAGGGATTATACATGTAAGTTTTATAAGTTTTTCAAAAGTATGTAATTATTCCAAAATAGTAAGTCAAAAAAAATTTTAAAGCTACAAATTTCTACTCTTCAAAAGACACATAAACAAATTAAAAAGCAGGGCACAGGGTGAGAATAAATATTCACAATACTTACATGTGATTAAAAATTACTAAATTGGACTTTTATAAAGTTATTTCACTGAGAATATGTAAAGAACTCTTATAATTCAGTAATAAGACAAATTAATTTTTAGAAGGGAGATCCACCAAATTGCCAATAAATACATGGCAAAATGCTCAACACCATCAGTCATCACAGAAATTCAAATCAAAAATCACCATGAACTTCCACAGCAGCTAATCTAAGAGCCTGACCGTGCTAAGTGTTGACACATATGTATACAGTGCAGCTAGAGCTTTCATCCATGACAGAAATGTAAAATTGTACAACCCACCTAGGAAAACGTAAGAAACCAATTTGCTAGCTTCTTAATTTAAATATACACCTACCACAGGACTCAGCAATTCCATCCTTAGGTTTTCACCCAAAAGAAATGAAAATGTAAGCCCACATAAATACTTCTACATGAATATTCACAAAGCTTTATTTGTAATGGCCCCAAACTTGAAACAGCTCATTCGTCCATCCATGCACGATGCTTACTGTACTACAGAGGCACAGAAAGAAATACTCTGAGCAATAAAACAAACAGACCACTGATACAAACCAAAACATGACTTTCAAAAAAAAAGTCCACACAATAAAATACTTTCCACTGTTAAGAAGGAATAAAGCATTGACACAGAGTATAACATATGTGAATCACAACATAATTGTACTCAATAAAAGGCAGACATTAAAAAGTACATACTATATGCATCTATTTATATAAAATTCTAAAAAAAAAAAAACTACTTCAGAGTGAGAAAGTAATAAGTTTATCTTAGACTGGGGGTGGAAACTGACTGAGACAGGTACTTGCAAACTTATGGGAGCGATAAAATGTCCTAAGTCTTGATGGGAGAGGTAGTAACATGGGTATTTACATTCATCAAAATTCATTTACACTATGCAATTAAATTCAGTGCATTTTAATGTATGTAATTTGTACTTGGATGAATTTAATTTTAGAAATTGTTAAAACACTGTACATGATTTGACACATCTAGAGCACGACATGCTAGAGTAGAATGGCTCTCTCTTCAGTGTCTGAAAGTGAGACTCAAAAGTTTGCCAGAAATCTTCTCTATGTGCTCCAACATTTTTCTCAAGCCAGATCAAGTGTACAATGAATAGAACAAAAGGGGTTAAATAAGGTCAGAGTTATTCTTAGGGCTGAAAGCATCCCAAATGAAAAGAAAATGAGTTTAAAAGCATGCCAGAAGGTTACCTGATTGGCATTTCTATAAGAGAATAGTATAAAGTAATCTTAAGACACTAAACAATTATTATGTGTACATTGATATGTTCTTCAGGTTAAACATTATGCTAAAATATTTATATTCACTATTTCTTTTCAATATATCCATAAATATTCAACAGAAATACTCCCATTTTATAGATAAAGAGAGATGAAATAGTTACTCGCTCAAAGTCAAACAGAATATTATAAAAGTGGAACACATATTGAACCTAGGTCTTTCTGACTCCTGTGCTCAGGCTCTTTACTGTTTTGCCATTTTACCTCCGATTATGCCATATTTATTACCTTTTGCATTATAAAGAGGCTCAAGTGCATGAGCCTGTACAGACTTACAGAGCACTGGTATTGATCTCCTTATAGCCATGCTACTAGGTCTTGGGAATAGTATAGAGAAGGCAGTTTGAAGCATGTGGAAAGCATTAGATTCTACAAAATGTCATTCCTATGTATGGTAGCTATCGAATACTAAAAATAATTCTAAGGACTGAAGAGATGTTGGTCCCAAATATTTTCCTCTAACTTTATTTCCTAGTCTGCCCAAAATTCCACAAAATACTATAAATCACAGTGTAAAAAAGATAGGAAATGGACCTCAGAAAACCTCTTTTAACTGGGGAGAGGACAGCTATCGAACTCTCTCTCATTCTATTTTCCTTTTTGTTCAGTTGTTCACTTTTCTTTTTATAATTCTTCTGGATTTTAAAGTTTCAAATATTTCCTTAGCTTTCCTCCCCACAAGTTTTGCTAATAATAGATGTGATTTACTCAGAATTACAGTGTTTTGTTAATATTTAGAAATGTATAGTAATAAAGTAATAGTGGAGGTGGAATTAAAATTATCTACTTTAATGACAAAGGGAAAATATCCCCTAATTGAGTATCCTTTTTAAGAACATATAAAATATTTTCATCCTACCTGAAATCACATGCTGTAGTAAATTCTGCTCCTCCACCCAATGCCCGACCTTGAACCAGTGCAACACTTATTAAAGGAAGTCTGCATATTGAAGGAAAAATTGATGTTAACACTTTTAATTTCGATATTAATTTACAAATGTTATTTTTTAATATGTTAAAATGTAATGGAAACAGAAGTACTGTATTGTCTTTATAATAACAAACACACATCAAAGGATAGTGGAACCCTAACCTTGTGTACCATGAGAGGAAGAATAGTATAACACTAAAGATAAAATAATTCATACTAAATACAAGTTTATCAAAATATCTCCCTGAATCACTATTTATTTTAAAAATATAGCCATATTGTGACATTCTTTAAATAAATGGATGCTTTTGTATAATATACAGCTCCTGGAACTTCTCAGTAGCTGGCAACTGAGAATAATTCAATGTGATATTGTCTTAGTCCATTTTTATAGATATCTAGTTAAATGGGGGGGGAAATTAAGGCCACACCCAAAGGAAAGAAATATAGTATAGAAGACAGAGCACAAAGAGGGATTTATGAAGATTTCCGTCAAAATTCTTCTCATTACTGCCTAAAGTGATGCACAGACTAATCCTATGTAAAGGAATGACTTTATGGTAGAAGTAAACTCTTACCTTTCCTGTTTGCAGGAGTGTCTGAATACTACAGCATAAATCTAAAACGTTTTCAAAGTGTGAATTTTTTTGTAGGTTCTAACCAAAATGCACAACTGTAAGTCTAACATACACTGTTCCCAAATAGAAAATGTTATTTAGAAAAGAATAACTTTACAGATTTTTCTAAGAAAAAGTCAAATGGAATAGGAAAAGGGAAGTTAACAATAGCTAAGATAATAAAATATAATGGTAATGTTATGATCCTATTATTTTCCAGACTCTCAGATACAATGAATACTCCAAAATATAGTGATGTTCAGGTAATAACTGTGCTTAAGTAAATATAAATTTTATTAGTTTTCATAATTTTAAAATTATCTACATTCGAATATGAAAATAGAAAGCTAATGAGCCAAAGCACGTCATAGTTTGTAACCCCAAACACAGAATGATAACCCAGAAGAATTTTCCCCCTTTCTTTCTTCATCTAGGTGCAAAGTGACTCCATCTTCCTTAGAAAGCTGTGAAAGCCTTCTCCAATCCATTGCTCTCTTTCTCTCTCCCCTGATACCAACCAGACTTCAATGCAAAGTCTACTAATTTTGAATATTAGGTAATCTTTCTGTGCCATCTCTCTATCAGTGGTTTTATTTTGCTGTAATATCAGCATTTAACTTTCCCCATGTCTGTTCCTTAATACTGCTAGTTATAGACACTCTTTAGGTAAATGGCTATACCTTAAATTCTTTTTATTCTTCATTTCTCTTATTTTTAAAATATTTTATATACTTCATTTAATTAAACAACTATCCTCTATGACACAAAGAAATAGTTCATTGTTAGAATCCAGAAATAAGCTACTTTTTTTTAACTGGTGCAAATAATGGAATAAGTTAGATATAATATGGAATAATTTGGATATTGTAGGAATTATATTTTAAAAAGATGATACATTACCTCATAAATCTTGTTAAGGTGTTCTGCATGAACATACATAAGGCCACTCCATCCTTTAAATAAAAGTAAGGATAAACACTAAGGCATAAGGCAAATATATTTAAGAAAAAATTAATTCAGGTTTTAGAAAATAAAAGCCAAGAATACATCTAACTTTTTTTTTTTTAATGAAGTTTCCATTTCAAACTCTTTGATGCTGTCTGAAGTGTGAACAGTGCTGCATTTGGCTCTGCTGATATTCTAGGGCTCCTTGAGCTCAGATCTGAACGAGGTTTAGTAAAGATGTAGGCAGGAAAGTCAGATCACCTCCTCGGAGCAGGGCAGAGCTCTAGACAGGATAATGTGGGGGAAAGAAGCATAGAAACTTTCCTGTTATCCCGAAAAAGATAAGCAATATAAGAGGGAGAGGAAGACGAGAAAGGAGATGTTAAACTTTGATTTTTTTGGTACTTCTAAGGCTTTTATCTTGCTATCGCCACAAATTACAATTTTCTTAAACAAATTTCTCCACAGTCCTGCAAACTCACTGCTTCTTCTTTATATCTTATGTGCTTCCTTCAGCTTGTGTGATATGACCTTCAACTTTCTCCCAAAAGAATCTCCTCAAAGGGTCTAATAATAACCTATTTGTCAAATTACATGACTTTTCCTGATTTCTCTTTTTCTTTCCTCTTCCCAATATGTGGTACCTGTCTTTGACCAGTTTCCTCATTTTAATAATTTCTCACAGTTTCTCTTTCTGTTTCTCTGATTGTTCCTTCTAGTTTTCTTCCTTGGCTCTTCTTACTCAGCTAATCCCCTTAATGCATGTATCCCCAAATATCCAACCACCCATGAGTTTATCTTCTTTATTTACAAGTTCTTTCTTTCTCATACACTGTTATGGTTTCACTTTTTTCTTATGAAGTGCTAAAATCTACTAAACATTTCCATATCCTCCCCACACCTCCAATTCAGTATGGCAAAATCAACTGGCAGTAAATGAGTCGAGTTGGAATCTTAGTGCTACCACTTAGTAACGAAGTGAACGTGACAAGTTACAACTATGAATTGCAATCTCCTCATCCATAAGGCGTAAGGAATAAAAAATACCTGTTCTATTTGATGCAAAGGGTGGTTGAAAGATAAAAACATACCCGATACTTTCTGCAAAATGATTACATAAATATAATGGGTCTGTGTTAATGGAAAACGTTAGCGTAAGAGTTCTGATCTAGCAGTCAGCAAAGCTCAGAATTTTGGTCCTAATTTTAACTCTTCCATTTCATAACTCTCCTACCTTCTTTTAGCTATCAGGTACTTTCCCCTCAGTTCTCCCTTTGAAATGTCTCCAATGTATATCCATCCTCTTTACATTCTCACTGCTGCTACTCCAGGTCAGACTTAGTTACTCTAGATTATCACAATACAATAGCTTTGCTTCTGAAGGAAGGACTTCAGGAAATTTCACCCATATAATAAGCCTCCTTGGTATCAAGGGTTATTTTGAATTAAAGGCCCTTGGATATCAACAAGCCTTAGAAGGGCTTTCCCTCTATTTTTATGAACCAGACAGACACATCACAAAAAACAACAGACTTCCTTTCCTTTCTCTGTTATCCCAATTTACTATAAGAAAGAACATCAAGAATGCAACTAGACCTTGCCCAAATCATTTTAAATATAACACCTGTCTCTCGGGTTCATTTAATTTGCAAAAAGAATCACTGACAAGTCAATCTATTTCCCCCCATCTACTCATTCTCCTAAGTATCTATTCATCCTCCTCAGTAACCATTTATTGTTCCTAAACAAAATAACCTATATTTTTCATCTTCTCCCTGCCTCTAAAATGAAGGTATATAAATTTATGAACCCCAATGGGACACTGGAAAATTACTCTGTGATTCTCCCTCTGCCCATGGTAAGTAAACCTTTCTTTACTTATTAATCTGCCTTATTGTGAGTGAATCTTTCAGTGAACCTTCTGAGTTAAAGGGGCAGTTTCCTCTCACCTCCACATTACCAGTCAAGTACTAACCAGGTTCGACCCTGCCTTACTTCCAGGATTAGATGAGACTGGGCTCATTTGGGGCGGTATGTTCATAGAAAACAGCTGATACCTGATAAAGCTTCTTGTAGGGTGACAGTATTTGTTATCAACAATAAAGTAAGTCTAAATTTCTTGGCAAGAAATGATCTTACCTGACCCCATACCAATTTTATTACCATACCCCTTGTGCTTGGCAAGATAGTTTGGGATCAGGTGTATAATAATAAAGTTGGTAAGACAGTTTGGGATCATGTGAGATCAAGTCCGATGGACAGAATACCCGTCATCTAACATCTCAATTTCAGCCAGAACAAATTATCTGCCATTCCTCTAATACCTTACACTTACCATCGTTCCTGTGCTTTGCTTACACCATTCTCACTAATTGGAAGAGCCTGTCCTTTCCTCTCTCTCTTTCAAAAAATGTCCAGATCAGACAATATTTTTCCATCAAGATTTTCTAATTCCACAGTAATAGTTTTCTCCTGTGTTTCCACAGTACTTTTATTTTTGTAACTTAATACATCTATATTGTCCTGTATTAATTATGTGTTTGGATTCATTATTAGATACATTATCTATGTAAGATGGAGGCTAAAGAACAAAACGAGTCCTCCATAATCTTACCACAGATACAGAAATGCAACAAGTATCAAGGTATAATATAGTAAGTATTTTCAAAATGCTTGAACCAACTGAAAAGAGTGCCAAAAAAGAAACATTTCATTTTGACTTGGGTGGAAATAGTTGGGAAAGTTTTATAGAAGAGGAGAGGAGGTGGTATTTGCTATACCTAGACTCTAAGTTTCTTGAGGCTGACAGTATGCCTTTATCCTCAGTAGCTAGAAACGTTTTGCATGTAGTAACAGAATCAGATGAATTACAGATGGAAAATTACAAAACAAATGCAGCCCAGGCTCAGCGCCCATAACTCCATGGTTAGGGTGCCAGCCACATACACTGGCACTGGCGGGTTCAAACCTGGCCCAGGCCTGCTAAACAACAATGGTAACTACAAAAAAAAAAATAATAGCCAGGCATTGTGGTGGGCATCTGTAGTCCCAGCTACTTGGGAGGCTGAGGCAAGAGAATTTCTTAAACCCAAGAGTTTGAGGTTGCTGTAAGGTGTGACACCACAGTACTCTACCAAGAGTGACATAGTAAGACTCTGTCTTTTTAAAAAAAAAAAAAAAAAAGAAGAAGAAGAAGCAGTCCAGAAAAGGTAAAAGTCAATGTGGGAAAAATTTTCTAATCCAAAGCCTTTATCAAGAAAATCAGCATATATCACAAAGTGAAGAGAAAATTAATACAAGCACAAAGAGCTAAAAAGCTTTAAAGGTAGACTGATTTATATTGCTAAAACAGCAATATAAATTGAACAGACCTTGTTCTATTAACCTACATAAAGCAATTTTAATATGCTTTTTTCCTCTTGCAAGGTTTAGATTACTTAAAATTCTGATGGACATATCTAAAATTGATAGAAATAAAGGTGAAGCAGACAGTAGCCTGTATGCTATTGTAGTTTTTGTTCAAAAGCTAAGTCACATTAAAGATGTTTAGAAGTCATATGAGATACTAGTTAGGAACACAGACTCTAGAGCCAACTGCCTACCAATTAGTACTTGGACTTTGCTCAAGTTACTTAACCTCTCTGTCCCTCAGTTTCCTCATCTGTAATGTGGTGTAGGGTGTAGTACCTATTTCACTAAGGGAGTTAGAAGTGATGAAGTTATGGCACATAAAAGCTTAGCACAGTCCCTGACATAAAGTATGAGAACAGAAATGTGACCTATCATCATCACTATTAGTATCACTAAGATGTTAGTATTAGCAACCAGACATTGAGTGTTTTGGCTATAAATGTATCATAAAATAGAAAGTTGAACGGTACTAGCCAACATGATCTAGCAATAAGAAAAACTGCATTAAATTTGTTTCTTGAAGCTGTTAAGTCAATAGTGGTTATGTGCTCAGTCCTACTGGGTTGAAAAAAGAAACCAGTAAGAGATAAATCCCTACCCATGATAGAATAAGTTGAGGGTAAAGGATTATTGAAAACTAGACCTACTCTAATGCACAGAAGCTGGGAAGTACTGAAAAGTACTAAGGAAAAAGTTCTGAGAGCTGGTGATACCTGAGGTCCCACTCTACTCCTCTACTCCCCCTAGTCTAACAAAAGAAAGAAGCATAATGTTCAATTCAAGGGCAGAAGAGAACTATTATCATCAAATTTACTTCAAGCTAAGTTTAAGAGTAGAAAAATGCCCAGCTTGCAAAAGTACCTTATCTATTTTTCACAGTGCTTACTTTATGAATTTATTAATGTAAGAAGGGTCAAGAAACATGGAAGAGTTTAGAGAAAATTAAAATAGCTTGTCTATAAATAAATAAGGCTAAAATGGAGTAGAGCCCCCATAAGTGACTATCTCCCTACACTGACCACTGGCTTAGGTGGACCCAATTTTCACCGAATGGACATGGACCATATGTTCATATCAATAAGCAGGCCTCGTTCCTTAATGTTGACCACCTCCATATGTTGATCCATTTGTTACAGTCCCTTGGGTGGTCAACTTACAGAAGTTCTACTGTATACAAAAATAGGAGCAAACAAAAAGAAATTAGACAGAAACTTTGAAGTCACTGTAGAAATTTAAGCAACAGAGAACTAAGGAACAAAAGATTGTTAGAAAGGTAACAAGGGAGGCCAGGAGGCAAAAAGAGATTATCTTCAAGCTAGATTATGAATACAATGATTTCTAAAATACCAGACTTTCTCTTAAGACATTATAGCCATTCATTGCACAGTAAGCAATGAAGTTATAAGCTTCCCTGTATTCTGAAGCTTATATCCTAGAGCTTATAACTGGAGTATGATTATGTATTCCTCTGAAAAGAAACTTCTTGTGGTCTACAGACTATCTGTGGTGTCATATCTACATCTTATAATTGGATTAATATTTACAATAGGCATTTTTCTATTTTATTCTTTTCTCCTTCCCATAATGTTTCAGGACCAATTTTTGTGTTCTGCCAGTCCATCTTGTGGCCTCTACTTTTTCAACCAAGAATAAACTGCCCGACAGGCACAGCTGGAACTCTTTTCTTGCTCATTACACAAAAGATATGAAAATGAAACCAACATTTTTATTTTTTTAGAAACAGAGTCTCACTCTGTTACCCCAGGTAGAGTGCCATCGCATCATTGCTCACAGGAACCTCAAACTCCTGGGCTCAAGCTATCCTCTTGCCTCAGCCTCCCAAGTAGTTGGGACAGGCACCCATGACAACATCTGGCTATGAAACCAACTTCTTAAGGGATCAGTTACACTTATAAGAAAAGAAAAAAACATGGAGTGATAGATCAACAAATACATTAAAATGCTGACAGTTGTTGATGCTCTCACTCTCCAAAAAAACTCCCAACAACATACAGTGCTCTACTGCACTAAAAAGAACACTGGCAAAAATTTACTTAAGTACCCTTCACAGATACTCCATTGGTATAACCTTAAGAATCATTTATTTCCCCTATATGTTACCACTATATAATTCCCCCTATATTTTGTTTCCTCTATATTGGTCCCACTATAATTCCTCCAAAAACAAAACAAACAAAAAAACCCTCTGATCCTTTGAGCTATTAAAGTCCTCGTAACAATCACGTAAGTAAAATATAAATATCTCAGCCACAGATGTCTGATAAACATGTAGAATCTAATGCGTAGCTCATACAACACTTGCCTCTGAGGTTCCTAGTGCTTTCACAGCATTCAGATCAGATCCTGAAGAGAAAGTATTTTTTGCCCCTCGGACAATGATGCCTTTGCCCTCTGCCCAATTTTCTAATTCAATCACTTTTTCCAGAAGTTGTAGCATCATAACACCTGCCAGAGAGGAGAGGGGAAGTAATAAAGACATGTAAGACTCTGTAAAAATAGAAATAATTTATAAATCATAAGATGTTGAGCAGTACTCTTAGGTAATATGTTTTACTAATATTTTCTGATTGTCTAATGACAATTGTGTACTACCATGGAGTAAGACAAAGAGGTATATATGACCGTCCCTGCTTTAAAAGTTTAAATTTATTAGTATAATTATCTCCTGAGAAATCACATAAATATCTGATTAGATAGAAATATAAGAATATATCCTACATATGTCCTAAGAAAATTATAATGTACAATATGGAATATGGTAATATGAAAATTATTATTATTATTATTATTTTTGCAGTTTTTGGCAGGGGCTGGGTTTGAACCTGCCACCTCTGGTATATGGGGCCAGTGCCCTACTCCTTTGAACCACAGGCACTGCCAAACAATTATTTCTTATGGTGAAGATAAAACACAGACTTCTCAGCAATAAATGTTACGTATCTCAGTCAACAAGCTATATGGATGTAACATATATGACTATGAGATCTTCTAAAATATGTTGGACATATGCTAAATAGAAAAAAGTGAGATTCCTGTCCTACTCATATCACAGCTAATATAATAGGATGTTAGCTCAGAAAAGGGGTGTAAATACAAGTAAATCTTGTTCCATGGTTGGAAACCGCGCTCTGAGGAGCCCAAGGCATACTATGGAAGTGTGTCATATGCCACCAACCACGGATTCTATAATTTATAGACTAGACTGTTACTTTTTCCAAAATTCCATTGGAGCTTCTTTAAAATTTAAAATAGAAATGCCAAGGACTGTCATTTTGAGATCTAATCAGTAACTTTTAGATACGCTTATCTTTAGATATCTTCCAAGTTCATAAAGCTCACTGTTCTCAACATGATTAATTTTATTTTTTGTGCCTAAGAAATACCGTAGAAGCTAATTATAAAGATCATAACAGAGGTTAAAACTGGCAAAGAATATGTACCACAAGTTTCCAAAACTTACCATATAGACCCCATTAAACTATGTGTACTTTTTTGGAATAAAACCCCCACAATGTCAAGAATTATTACTTTATTTGCCATTTTCTGAAGTAAACAGTAGAGAAGTGGTCCTACAATAACTATTAAACCAATGTTATTAACTCCCATAGAAGTTATGAGCAGATATCCTTTCTAGTTGTTAACAGTAGACTGCATATACCATGGTGGTCCCATAACATTCTAATGGATCTGAAAGTTTCCTATTGTCCAGTGATGTCAAAGCCACCACCCTGTTGTAGTGCAACACAGCACATTGCTCATGTGTTTGTATTACAACTGCTTACAATATTCACACAGATCACGCTATACAAGTTGGTAGCCTATGAGCAACAGGCCATATACCCTAGGTGTGTAGTAGAATCCAGCACCTAGTTTTATCTAAGTTAACTCTATGACATTCACTTACACGATGAAGAAATCGCCTAATGACATATATTTCTCAGAACATGTTCCCATCATTGAACAATGCATTACTATAGTTAAACTGTAACCCTTCCTAAGGATATCCTATATGCTTCAGAAATATAGTTCTTGCTCTCAAGTGATCTACAGTCTAATAAGGGAAACCAAAAACCCCTCATGTTTAGGATAAGAATAAATCTATAAAAATAAATATGGACCTTTAATCATTATTCAAAATATTTAAGCTTCTAAAAAATAACACTGTCCTCCAGTATAAAAAAAAAATGTATACCAGTAGTTAATCTTAAACATGTTTTTACCTCATAAAATAAACCTTAAGTTTGGAAGATAAAGAATATCTAATTGGATGATTTTTAAATAAGCGTCCTGAGGGCTCATTCATCTTTCTCTCCCAACTCAATTGAACCAAACGGGTTAGATTTAGTAGGATTCTTGAGGAGAAAAAGTATCTCTAATACCTGAGAATGCATTCATTTTAGTTGGATTGTTCAGAGTAAGAATGCCAATGCCACTGTCCTCCTTCTGCAGGTCAACAGATCCACCAGGAAACTGCATAAGTTTTTTTTTCACTTCTTCTTCATGGAAGCCATGGGATGTATTATATAGTGACAATCCTGTTTGATGTAGCAATTTTGTCCTTATAGACCGAGATGATGTTGCCAAAAGACTTTTTGCCATTTCTGGAAAATAGAGATAAATGTGCAATTGTCCAGATGAATAGACATTCATTTTCTAATATTATGTGTTAACAGGCTGTAATAATGGACCTTTCTGTTGAATGGGGAGTACCTCCTCACTTCTGAAAGCTCTCCTTTACATGAGGGTCAGTATGGAATTCTTTTCATTTCACCCTTCCTCTCAAACTAATTAATTCACAAAGCTTTATCATTTCAGTACATCATCAAAAAATGCTGACATAATTACATTTACTGGAAACTAATGCACAAGATTTAGAAAAAATGTTTCTATTCTGTACTTAGCACCATCTCCTGCCTCCAGGTGGTCTTTCTCATCACAGTATTTCTTCTTCCAACCCTTAACTTTTTCAAAGTCTAAGAATAAATTCAGTCCAAGTGTCCCCTTGGGAACAGTCTATATGCAGAAATTTTGTAAGAACAATCCTACCAACAGAAATTTCATTCTTAGCATTATCCTTACCTTCTGCGATGCTTTCATACAAAAAGCTGAAAGGGGCCCCAAGGAAAATGAGGAAGGAAATGGGAATGTGTATGTGGTTTTTGTATTCCCCAGGGTTCCATCACTCTTCTCATATTACTCTGGGTATCTATCTCCTGGGTAATCTCATCTCTGTCCTTAAGCTCTCCATTTGCTCTACGCAAACATTTTTTGTTGATACAAAACATCATTCAGAAAAGTATACAAAACCTAAGTTATAACTCAGAAACTTTTCAGTTTGTTCTATAATAGAAAATGGCACCCAAGTCAAGAAACATGAAGTAAACTGGATCTCAGAAGGTCTTTTGTGCCAACTTTTGGTCATCACTCCTTAAACATGAATAACTATCTTGATTTCTAACACCCAAGACTAGTTTGCTCTTGAACTTTACATAAATTGAACAGCATACATTCTTTTATGTCTAGTTTCAACGATTTAGACTCACATTACTCTTATTATGTGAGTCTAAGTAGTCCTTTATTCTCATTGCTGTATTCTATTTTACATAAATACACCACAGTTTACAGATTCTAATGTTAATAGACATTTAGGTTGTTTCTGGCATTACAAACAGAGTTGCTGTAAAGACTCTAGCATGTGTCATTGGTCAATATGTATGCATTTCTTATGGTTATATGTGTATATGGAGGAATGGAACTGGTTAACTGTATGCTGTTTCCCAGCTTAACCTGATCATTAAACGCTGAAGAATTGGGCAAGCTGCTTTTTAAAACCACTGTTAGGGGCAGAGCCTGTGGCTCAAAGGAGTAAGGCCCAGCCCCATATACTGGAGGTGGTGGGTTCAAACCCGACCTCAGCCAAAAACTGGAAAAAAAACCAAAAAAACCCAACACCGTTAGCTTGAAATTGACCGTGGTGGGATTATCAGTAACACATTCTTTCTCTCTCTCACAGGCAGTTTACCGGTACATCACCAATTATATGCAGTAATGCACACACAGACTTGTGCATTTGTTCAACTTTAGAGGCCCCAACTGCCAAAGAGGCTTTCAAAATGGTTGTACTGATGTCCCCTCCCACAGATAACGTTGCAGTTGCTCTCCAACCTTGTCATCACTTATACATCTTTCCCCCAGTTTCAGGCACTGTGGTGAACAGTATCTCATTGGGGTTTCATTTGTATTCCTGTGATGTCTAATGAAGGTGAGCCCCATTTTCTTTTGCTCATTGGTCATTTGTATATTATCTTTTGTGAAGCACCTTGCAAAGCTTTTGATCAGTTTTTCCTATTTATTTACTTCTTTATTATTGTTGATTTGTTAGAGATGTTTTATTCTTCTCCCACAACTTCCCTAAACTCAGTGGGATGTAAAACCCATTAGGCAACAAATCTTACATTTCTATCTCCAGCTCAGACCTTATTTTATACTCCTGACTCAAACCATTGCCTACCAGAAATGAACTTCCCTTACCCCTCACCACCAGATACATCATGGGCTTCTCAAAATCACTGTCCAAACCTGAACTCATACTTCACCTAGAACATACTGCTCTTTCTTTCCCCCCTTAACTATTCATTGTACCATCAACTCAGTAATTCATGCCAGAAAACCTCTAGGTCAACCCATTCTCTTTATCCTTCCTTACCTCCCATACACAGTGTATCTCTAAAACAGCTCCTCTTTCTTATTGTCCCATCCTCCATTCCTTTTTTTTTTTTTTTGAGACAGAGTTTCACTATGCCACCCTCGGTAGAATACCACAGTTTCACAGCTCACAGCAACCTCAAACTCTCGGGCCTAAGCAATTCTCATGCCTCAGCCATCTGAGTAGCTGGGACTACAGGCCCCTGCCACCATGCCCGGCTATTTTTTGTTGCTGTTGTCATTGTTGTTTAGCTGGCCCAGACTGGGTTCGAACCTGCCACCCTTGGTGTATGTGCTGGCGCTGTAACCACTGTGCTACGGGCACCGAGCCCTCTATTCCTTTTATTATTAATATACTGCAAACCTTAATACATATCATCTATATCAGTGATTTTACACCAGTGTGCCATGAAGATTTAAGATTATTTTCGAAAGAAGTTCAAAGCACAGTAAATACATTCTTGTTTTTACCTTTTATAATCAACATAATTTAACAGTGCCACACAAGTTTTACTATAAGTTTAAGTGTGCCGTGAGATAAAAAAGGTTGAAAAACACTGATCCAGACTGATACAGTGGTCACCAATTAGTTTCACACCATTCCTTGTGTTAGTGTGGTTATCTTTGTAATCCAATTAGGACATTAAAAAAGGATCAAGTCCAGTGAATGCCTTCTCTGATCTGATCTGGTTCTTATCTAAATGTCGAATCTCTCTCACAACATGTCTACACAATAACCAGAGTCCCACAAATCCACCATGCCACTTTACAATTAGTACTTCCCCCCAGAATGTTCTTTCCTCCCTCACTGGCCTAGTAAATTCCCAATCACATTTAAATCTGAATTCCTAAATATTCACCTAAAAGTGATTTCGTAAGTAGAGATAATCACTCCCTCTATGCCCAGAAAATTGTAATACCATTATTCTATGTCAACATATGACACACATCACTTTATTTTTCATCTGCCTTCCTGAGGAGGATGTCTCCTGACAGCAGTACTCTGAGGCACATACTTGGTGTCACTAGTACCTCATACAGTCCTCATCACATAAAATGTACTTAATAAATGGTTAATGAAGGAAAATATAAACAAGTGAAAAATCACCAAGTAGCTAAAAGGAATGTCACAAACTTGTTTGATAGCTTTAAGAATGTCTCTAATTTGTGAGTTATAAAAATGATCTAAGAAACTGATGAACAACATCCATCAAAAAAAGATTACAATACAATATTCCCTCTTTCCACTTTACATTGCTTCATCTTCAGGTGACATTTTTGTGGAAATCTCTCAGCAGAATACTTGGCATTGTATAAGTATCCATAATAAAAAGAGTACTCAGTGGGATGTAAAACCCCAAACAGACATACTTCACAAGCTTGTGAACAGTATTTCAAAATTTTACCCACTTATAAATACAATATTGAAGAGACCAGCATGTCTCTTAAATCTGTCTCTCTCCCTTTTTTGTGTGTGTGTGTAGTTTTTGGCTGGGGCTGGGTTTGAACCCACCACCTCCGGCATGTGGGATAGGCACCCTACTCCTTTGAGCCACAGGTGCTGCCCATGTCTCTTAAATCTCAAGGAGAAATGTAACTCTTAGTAGATTGCGACCTATATACACTGTAATATATTCTAGAGGATTTAACCAAAAAGGTAGTGAGGTGCTTGTTTTAGACAGGGGTCCTCAAACTTTTTAAACAGGGGGCCAGTTCACTGTCCCTCAGACCATTGGAGGGCCAGACAATAGTTTAAAAGGACAGGCAGCAGTGGCCAAAACACCCAACGGGCCAGATAAATGTCCTCAGTGGGCCACATGTGGCCTACAGGCCGTAGTTTGAGAATGCCCGTTTTAGAGAATGATATATAATAAGAAGAAACTTGATGCTATTTTTTCCAAGAAAAAAGCTGCTCTATCTTGCATCACAAATCCGTGATGGGACCTGTTTTATTTTTTCCCATACTGTCAAACTCCCCAGGGTCTTTTCCTGTAGTCTCTCTTCCTCCCTCCAAAAAGTCACCAGCCTATAGTTATGTTACTAAATGAAAGCATTGAGTGATTCACTGAATGGATCAGTAAGGTCTGGGTCAATGTGAAAAACAGAATAAATAAGTAACCAAGAAAGCAGTCAAATGTCGCAAGTTGCCAAAGAAAATAACTAAATGTTTAAAACTACCTTTAGTATCTTCATCTGTTGCCAATTTCATACTCAATATTTAATAATAGAAAGCAAAACTTCCCTGAGCAAGAACAAATCCTTTTCTTGGGAGGTTTCTTGCTCTCAGGTACATAGAACTCTATTGTTAAATATTACCACTAAGCTTAAGATATTTCAGTTTATTTTTAGAAACTGCACATTTATAACAATATATCTCTAATCTACACCCCTAGGAGAATAAATCAATGAACAGACTCTCAATAAAAAGCCTCTTAGAACTTGAACATGAACCGAAAGAATAAACCTGAAGGAGAAATAAAGTGACAAAAGTAGAAAATTCAAGTCCATAGGAAATGGGAGAACAACTTCAAATATGTTATTACCAATTAAGAAGTATAAAGTAGTTATGAAAAAACAAGGATTTTGGAGGCATCTTAAGCTATCACTCAAATGTAAATATCAAGTTATCTCAAGTTCTCTTAGCTAGTAGTAGTAGAAATTTTTAATCTGTAAAAATTTCAGAGATTAAGAAATGACAAGCAATAGGGCTTAAAACAAGTTAGTCAGCTAAACCTGTATGCTCATGACAGGATGGATTTATTATGAAGTTTATCTTCATAAGCTCCATTCATAGTCATAACCCTCTTGTCCCCAACCCACAATATTCTTCCTTTTTATCTCTCCTTTCACTATTCCAAGTTCAGAGGTCAAAATCTGTGGGAAAAATGGAAAAATAAATCAAAATATGTCATTCAAAGTGAGTTGAAGCCTTCTTTGCTTTCACTAAAACAAGTTTTGAAAAACTTATTAACTCGATTAGCAATTAAGACAAATATTTTAAAACAGGCTGGTATTCATTTTTTGGTTTTTTTGAGACAGAGTCTCAAGCTGTCGCTCTGGGTAGAGTGCTGTGGTATCACAGCTCACAGCAACCTCAAACTCTTGGGCTTAAGCAATTCTCTTGCCTCAGCCTCCCAAGTAGCTGAGATTACTAGCGCCTGCCACAATGCCCAGCTATTTTTGTTGTTGTTGTTGGAGTTGTCATTGCTGTTTTAGCTGGCCTGGGCTGGGTTCGAACCCACCAGCCTTGGTGTACATGGCCAGTGCCGCACCCACTGAGCTACTGGCACTGCCCTCAGGCTGGTATTCTTCATTGGATTAGTTAAAGTAGATTACAGCTAGAACTTTAGAATTGCAAAAATGTTGATGCATTTCTTGGCATATGGGCCATTAAGGAAACAACACTTACATAAAGGCCATTTTGGCCAAGAAATTTATAGGCTGTGATTCAAACGTACACACTTGCAATATGGTCACCCATGTGGTAAAAGGTAATTGTGTAACCACTGTTTGGTGAATAGCTATTTAGTGAATTCTTACCAATGATCTCCCCTTTGCTAGCTATTTCAGAAAAAAACTAAGCATCTTCATGATCAAAAGTCTTCAGTTTCACCAGGGAAACAAAATATACACACATAAACCAAAAATAATTCAAACATCTAATTGAAAATGAATTCTTTCTCTTGAGCTTTAATAAAAGAGTTGCTATAAATTTAAAATACTGTCTTAACTTCATAAAAGGGTATCTGTTTTTTTCTCTCACCAGCAAACTTTTATCACATACTCTAAGGATGTACTATAGGTATAAATTGTGCTTGGATTATATTAACACTAAACATTAAATCAGTGCTTGGGATTATGATACTCTATTTCCCTTCATTCTTTCTAGTTTTTGAAATTCTAAACAGAAGTACAACAAAAATCAAGCAATGCACCGGCTCTGCTGGGGAGCAAACAATTAAAGGAAAACAAGCTCACATCACCTTTACTTTTGCAGTTCCTTATAGTGGAGCTATTGACAGAGATCATCATTAAAATACTCTTATTTTACATATTTTCAAAGTATCATTTCTTTCAAAAGAGCTAATCTGCAGAATGAAAATTATATCCTAGTCCCCTTCCCAAAAGAAATTTATAAGACAAACAGAAACAATTCCCTGTTATGCTGTTATTTTTTTGTCCCCTCTAAAATTCATACTGAAAAACTAATCCCCAATGCACAGTATTGGGAGGTATGGCCTTTGGGAGGTGTCCTTATAAAAGAGCTTTATGGTAGTAGTTTGTTCCTCTTGCCCTTCTTTCTCTTGCCATGAAAGATCACAGGGTTCACACCCACCCCCCCCCCCATTGAAGACTGAGAGTTTAAGGAGCCATTTTGGAAACCTAGCAGCCTTCTCCAGATGCTGGTGACTTGATCTTGGATTTGCTAGCCTCCAGAACTCTAAGAAATAAATTTCTCTTCTTTATAAATTACCCAGTCTCAGGTGTTTTCTTGTAGCAACACAAAATACACTAAGACAGACCTACATTTCCATTTTACAATTAGTTAAAATTTTCCTTTGTGTGCAGCTTTCCACTATCAAGGCTAACCTTTTTTCGTCTCTGTTGCAAACTGGTATAAGAAATATCTTGGACTACACATTAAATACACAAACACTAATGAAAGCTGATAAACAAAACCCAAAAGGTCTGTACAGATATTTCATGATAGCTGACACTACAGATAAGCAAAAATATTCCTCACATACACCTCATGCAGCCCCCGGGGCCACAGGTTGGACATCCCTGTGGCAGTAGCCTGTTTATTGTCACATTTAGCGAAAATACAAAAGCTCTCAACCAAAGTCCTCGTTTTCAGCTTTTCTTCCAAATAACACCTACATTTTTTTTTAAAACCTGAGACACTCAGATCACTCCATAATTGCCTTGAATCACAAGTATTTTGAATGTGCAAGAACATAGTTCACATACAGGCTATATGATTAAAAATAGGGTTCTGAAACAGTGGAAGAGTAGTGTTACACAATTACATATTCTATAAACGATGACTTTTGTTCACTGATTTGAGATTTACATTGTATTTACATTTGGCCAGAAAGAACAGAAGCACAGATGTGAACAGGGAAGAAAAATACTGGCTAAGTCACCTAAAAAGTGCAGAAAAGACTAGGTTTCAGAATATAGGTATGTTTCCTTCTTAACGTAGATGATGGATACACAGGCATTTATTTTGTTGCTGTTGTTATTCTTTAAACTTTCATACATTGTGCACTCTATGTACAGGCGCCACATTTACTCCTCGATAAACTTTTTGTAACTCAAGAACATCATTCCAAATTTTGGAGGCTGTCTCTGTCTTCCCCAGTAATTTCTCTCAAATTGCCAATTGTAAAATGAGTTTAAGCACTCTATTTTTGTACTTAGAAGAAATAAGGAGCACAGTACTCCATCAGTAGCCACCAGTAATAATAACAGCCTCTAGATGCCTGAAGCCAGAGTTGGCAAGTCGGGCAACTAAGCAAGAGTCCTTATGAAAGGCCGTATTTCTTTAAAAAAAATTGAGGCACAACTAGATAAGAGAGATTACATACAGAGGGTACAGAAGCTGACCACCCATCAACTCTTCACCTACCCTAGTTGTTATTTTCCCAACTCACCCTGTTTCAAGTATATGCCTCTTCACAATCTGGCTTCCCGTCCTAGAATGGGGGAAATGCTGATAACAGGCCGTGCCCGAAAATGATTATTATCCACTCACCCTCAGGTCAGGAACCAATAAAATATCGTGTAAAGATCAGCTGTTTTATTACAACATTCCTCCCTCCCCCGGCTGATTTCACACACTATGCCTCACACTGCAAGTTTGTTTCTTCCAATGGAGTGCTAGTTCGTCAAAAGAAAGGTTTGTTATTCCTCTCCATGTCCAGTTTCTGTATCTCCAGCACTCTCAGCAGTAACAGGTATACAGTAGGCTTTCAGACGTGGAAATGAGGAAATTTCAAAAGAGAGGTGCTGAGCTTGACGCTCTCTCAAGCCCTTTTCAGCATTTTCATCCCGTAAATTGTGATTTTACTCCCCTACGCTTTTGACCTTTGTGAGAGTGCAGCGCTGAAAAGATTATTGCAGCGCAAATTGTAGAAGGAACCCATACTAAAACTGAGTTGATTTTGTTGTTAAAAAGCTGGCTGCACTCTACAAACTTCTAATTAAGCAACATAAGTGCAAAGACAGTTACAAAGGTTCCAGGGGACATTACCTAAGAATTCAGATATTAAGCTGGGGCGCTGAAAGCAAGTCTCCTTTTCCTCATGAAAAGGTTAACGTCGCTACTTTTTGCGCTTTCCTGAAAGTTTAACTCTTCTGGGCCCAGCACTTTCCTTCCCCGGGCAAAGTCGGTCAGCGGCGCCCGGCAGCGCGTCCTCACGCCCAGCAGAGGGCAGGTGTGCGCCGCGGCTGCGCAGGAGACAAGCCGCGGAGCCGGGGGTGCCGGAGATGCTCCCCGAGGTGGGAAGCGCTCCAAGAAGCGCTAGAGTCCATTCCACAGCGACCGTCTGGGAGTCTCCCCTGGACGGCACTAACACGTGTAGCCCTAAGAGCAGTCCCGAGCGTCCCACGGGCCCGCACGGCGCGGCGGCGACTTCCCCTTCCGCTTTTCCCCTCGTCCCCGGCCCTGCTTCCCGCCTCTTCCGCCTCTCCAGGCCCCTTTTCCGCTCTCCGGAGACCCCCTTCCGCCGCCTGCCTGCCCTGCGCTATGCCACGTCGTGCGGCGGCTCGTCGCGCCCTTTACTCATAGGCTCCCTCGCCTCCGGGCCTCTGTTTCCTTCTCCCGCCGGCTCCCGAGAACCGGGAAATCCCACCCCCGCCGCGGGACAACCCTTTCCCGCGTCCTTGTCCCGAGGGAGACGCCGAGGGCGGCCTGCAGTTGTTCTTGCTTAGACTTTTCGGTTCTGCGGCGCAGGTTAGGGCTGGTGCAGGCAGGGCTGCCGAACTCCGCTTCTCGACATGCGCCACTGTAAACATCGCAGTTGCAGGAATGAAGCCAGGTGAGGGCAATAGCGAAAAGGGAAGGGAGGGAGACATACTGAAGGCTGTCCTTTCAAGATATCTTACCTGAGTTGAATGTCCTGAATGTGACGTTGCCTTTATAAAGTTCAGAAAGCTTAAAATACTGCGCCGTTACCTGTATTATGCGGCAGACAGGAGGTCTTTGGAAGACAGATGAAGGGGGACGTCATATTACACCACGATTGGGATCGTTTGTCAAAGTTTGAAGGACTCAAGGTGGATCTTCGGTAGTTGATGCCAAACATAAACGCAGCTACATATTAAAGAAGTGGAAGCAGATTTTATTCAGTAACTAATGACAGAAGGAGAAAACTGAGCTATGTTGCGGTTTGTGCAGGGGTGATTTGGGCGTTTTAAAGGGAGGAAGAAAAAGAGGGGAATGTGAGCGCTCATTAGAGTCTGAAGAAGTACAAAGGGTTGTTGATAAGTGTAAACGTGATTAGGCCAGCTATATTTGTTAGCTGGCAGTTATCTAGGTTAGGATTCTAACCTCCCACAGAGGATGGGAGATAGTCCTTATCCTTCATTTTAAGAAGTGATTTTCAGGTCCTTGAGAGAGGGCTTCTGAGTTGCAAGACACACACATATAAGCCCCTCTTATTAAAAGCACGAAGAAAGGTTGATCGGGGCCTATTGTCAACTGTGTGTTGGCTAGAACTAGTTGAGCTTTCTCAGGCAAGCGCTGTACAGGTGGCTGGGGTCATCTAGACACAGGGCTTTATGTTGCTAGAAGCTCTACTAGAGTTTTGTCAGGTCTTAGCGCAGGGTTTTGGATGGCAATATGTGCCTGGAGTTCTGCAGTTGTCTTAGATAAGGTATGAGTAAGTAAGGGTAATATTCTAGTGGCCGGACACCAAAGGAAGGATGAAAACCAAGTGTTAGAGTACAGAGATGTGTATGATAGGAAAGAAGTGGGAGTCCAGTTTGCCCTGGCAGGAAGAAGTTATTATTAGAAGTATTGTGTTAAATTCGTTTACTATGAAATGGGCATCTTAAGCCAATATGCTCTGGTGAACACAAAAGTCACTTGATTAAATGGTGATTTGGAAGAACTTATCTGTTTGCAGAGTTGGGGGGAGTGACTAGATTTGTTATTTGTGCCATAGTTTGTATATGGACATGTGATATTAGAACCTTCCAACGTTGGGATCTGTGGCTAAGTGGCTTGACCTTTAGACATCTTTGTGTAGTCCCTGATAGTACCTTTGTTATGAAAGTAGAAAACAAAGTCTGTCATTTGTGGATATTATCTTCATACCCTATTTATTTATTTATTTATTTTGCAGTTTTTGGCCGAAGCTGGGTTTGAACCTGCCACCTCCGGCATATGGGGCCAGCACCCTACTCCTTTGAGCCACAGATGTTGCTCCGCTATTTTTTTCCAAGTACATGTTAAGTTACTTGCCAGTTCTCAAAATATCTACCAACAAATTGAGGAGAAAAATGTGTAGAAAATTACTTTAAAACTACCAAAAGTGGTCTAAAGTATAATAGGGATTTGGAGAAGGCAAAAAAGCTTGGCAACTGGTGAAAATTCAGGGAGAGCAGCACAATGGAAGACATATTTTCAGTACTGTTACTATGTAAATGCTAAGATAAAAAGCATTCTTTTTTCTACTCTCATGTAAACAGTGCTTACTCACTTACAGCTGTGAGAGTATAATTGGAGATGAGGATTGGCAGTGATTTAAGTGTCCAGAGAGACAGGACGGTGGGAGCTAGGAGGACTAAAACCAAGATATCTGATACTTACTCCCTATGCCCTAGAAACAAAAAGTTTGCTATCCCAAGACCTAGTCCTCCTCATTACCCCCTTTTATTCCAGGAGTATTCTGATTGCTCATCTAGATGTATAGAAATTCAACAGAATTTCTTAACCTGCTGTAAATATACCTTTCACTGCAGCAACCGATGTTCTAAACCACAAACTGAAAGGTAATGCCCTGCAGTGCTAACAAGTCAACACCTGTTTAACTTCTAGTCTAATCTAAAAAATTGGATGGCTGTTTCTTCTATTATTTGAGTTTTTGTAAAATACAAGCCCAATTGTAATTATTCTCTTTCTCTTTCGTCACTGTTGCACTGTTCTCCCCCTACCCATACCCATAACACGTTCTACACGCAGGTTTTTTCAGTATCTAGTCCTCTTAGCTTTGATGCATATAAAATTTTCTTTCCTATATTCCACTTACTAACTTTTTTTGCATTTTTTATAATAATTCCAAAAGACTTGGTGTACCTTAAAAAGTATTTTGATCTAATTTAACATCTAATAGTGATGTCACCAATCCACCTCTCCAGAAATCCCAAATGAGGGTTAATATGCATATTTTTGTCAAATAATAAATGTATCAAGTGGCTACAGTTTGTTACCTTGCGCTTTTCTACTCTTCTTCTCTCTCTCTCATCCTCTTTAACCCCTCCCTCAGTCTTTCAGATCCTTCCTTACTTCTTACATAGTGACATTGCCTACTATTCTCCTGGCTGTTTTCTGAAACACTATAATTCTCTACTGGCGTTAAAAATAGAAATTTTTGTTTTAGAGATACAAAGTTCTTGTGCAAATACAAAAAATTAATAAAATAACAAAATTTTATAATCCCATCCCACAGAAATAATCACTAATACTCAAGAATGTTTTAAAAATAGATTGATTAATCTGGCTATAGCCATATTTATACATATAAGCATTTATAAAAACATATATACTTAGCAAAATAAAGTATTACAAACACTTCTCCACATTGATAAATATTTTTAAATTGTCATTTAACAATTTAACATTCTCCCTCCACTTTTTTAGGTGTGTCTCTTGCAAGCAGCATTTTGTTCGACCCAGTCTAATAGCATTTATCTTTTAGGGCTGTGGCCCCCAACCCCTGGGTGGCAGACAGGACAGGTTCCTGGCCTGTTAGAAAGTGGGGCGCACAACAGGAGGTGAGCAGTGGGGCTAGCCAGGAAGCTTCATGTCTATTTATAGCTACTCCCCATTGCTTGCATCACCCCCTGAGCTTTGCCTCCTGTCAGATGGAAGGGGCATTAATTCTCGTAGGACCATGAACCCTACTATAAACTTCACATGTGAGGGAGGGATTATATACACTCCTTATGAAAAATATAACGCCTGATGATCTGAGGTGGAGATGTAATGTACATGAATCATCCCATCCCCACCCTACTCTGTCCATGGAAAAATTGCCTTCCATGAAGCAGGTCCCTGGTGCCAAACAGGTTGGAAACCATTGTTTTAGGCCAGTTTAAACCATTTACATTTGTTTAATTGATTTGAACTTTTTTTTACTTGAGGTTTATACTTAATGACATTCTACTTTGTCTAAAGGGATAGTGTGTATATATATACACACACAAATGCATGTGTATGTCTCTCCCATTTAAATACATATCTCAATGTTCATCGTCTCACTGGAGTGATATAGAAGAGAGGAAACCTGAAATAGCCTATGAAGCTCTTTGGTTTTACCTTACAAAAAGCTGAATTTTTAGGAGGCGCTTTAAGATCATTGATTAAATAAAAGAGAGATGATTTGAGATGATAAACAAAATGCCTTCATCAATATTAGGTAACTAGAGTAAGGATTCCTTCATAAACTAAAAAAATTTTCCTTGGGTGAGAGAGAGTAGGGTATCTGAGCATGGGAACATCCTTGCAGAACCACTGAGAAGAACCACAGGATCTGATGGCCATGGACTTGGGCCACAAGCACCCAGAAAATTTGCATAAAAATTCTTGTGCCCTACGTGAAGTGTGGAATCAGAAAGCTGCAAGACTTGAAAAAGCCATGCAAACTCTGGTTGTGTGAATTTCACAAGCAACTTGCCTGTTTTTATCTCAGGGACTAGATTGCCTGCCTTTGCACAATTATGTAAACCTCTCAGAAGGAGGCAGGAGCAGGCCTTAAAGTCTGACGTTAAAATTGTCCACTGTCCAGGCAGAAGTGAGGCATTAGAAATCTAATTGAGCCAAAGTAAAAGAAAATGAAATTCCTTGTGTACTTATTTATGGCTTGAGATTTATATCTCAAGTTATATATGCTTCTTGAGTTTCCTTTGAGTGTGCACACGTGTATGTGATTTTTCTGAATTATCGTTACATGAACCGTTTCATTTTATTACCCTCAATGATTTAGCAATTAGACATTCTGATTTTAATTCTACAGGGTATCACAAAAGTCACTATATGTAGGAAGAATTATAATAGATATCCTGGAACATGTTTGCCATGAGAGGGAGAGAAGACTTCCTGTGTGTATAGAAAGATCAACACATATAGAAGATTTTGCAAATATTTTGTAAATCTTTTTAATGTTTTATAAATAAAGGTATATTAGCTATAATTTCCCATTTTCCCTATGAATGTTAACTTTTAGGACATCCTGTAGTATGGTTATTTACATTTTTCAAGAATCGGTCAAAACAAAATATAAAGTTTTTATTTACTCTTTTTTGTTATTGGTTCATTGAGGGTACAACGAATTAGGTTACACTGCTTGCATTTGTAGGGTAAAATCCCTCTTAGAGTTGTGATTTACTCCTTTTTTTTGTTAAA